TTAGGACGATATATTATAAAAGAATAATAATATTTCTATAAATCTTGTCCTACATGTCGTGACTTATGTCTTTACTACTTTAATATATATACTTTTCAACTGAAATATGAAAAACATATAAAAATTGGTTGCTTAGTTAAAGCGTGATGGAAAGATAAACAAACAAACGCACTTGCACAATTAAATCTTAAATTAAAGCCAACGACGAAGCGTCCCTACAATTATTATCCATGATAAGGATAGTTTATGGTCACAATAACACAGGATGCACATATAGACAGAGTAGGTCGTCTGTTTGCTCGAAAATGGTTTATAATTAATTTAGCCCCACGGAAATAGCGCTTTATACGGTTAATATTTCATTTCTAGCGGCTTGATATAATATAAATGTTACTCGTAAACTTCACATAACTTTATTTGCTTACTTAAAAACATTCTGCTTTCCATAGTTAAAAGTAAAGTTATAGATGTTTTGTACTACAGCTTTCGTAGATTAAAAGATATAAGTGTCTAGATTCTTCCCCGACAATGATGAAGTTATTTCTATTTATGATGGGGATGCAAATGCATTAGCGCCCTTGCGGTCATCTTTGTGGTCGGACATATTGCCAGTATAAACACCGGGCGCAGGCGACGTTTGAACTCAAATGAATCGAGAGTTCACATGCAGTAACAGAAACAATTGCGTACCTGACTCTTTAACAATCTTAATGAGCTGTCTTGACAGATTGTCAACTTTGACATCTTGGCAACTTTGACAGCTACACGTGACATACCGCAGAGTATATACGATACATGTTTTGTATTTTTTTTATATATCTGAATCTAAAAGCGAAAACTTATGATTGACTTTGTGATATCTAATTCGTCGACTATCCCATTGTACTGTAGCTGTAAATTTTCTATAAAAGATATAACTTCTGAATGGCAGGAAATAAGGAATTACTAAAATAAAAATTTACCGGCATGTAGATAAGTATATTCTACAACTAACTAATCGTAGTGTGAAACGTTTCTAAATTTTTATTTACATAGTCTTCTTTATTTTTTTAATTATTACAGTTTTATAAATTTAAAAAAAAAATCAACACAAGGCGCGCTTATTGTACTAGATTAATCAACAGTAAGCATCTATATGAATTGAATACTCGCTTTAAAGCCTTAAAGTATCAACTCGTAAGAGTAAATTACGTCTATGGAGAATAACACATGGATTACAATTACGCAGACATTTGCTAGAGGATTAACTTGATAGCAATAATAACAGGTAGTCCCGGAGGAGCTTTCAGGGACTATTGAACATATGCAGACAGGGTTGACACTTCTTACTTCTTATATCTATTTTTTTTATTAGTAATAAGTTATTTTTCGTTCTTGTGTATGAACGTATGTATATTTGCGTAATTGTTTAAAGACATTATATACTTTTTTTTTTAACTAATGCACATATACTATATATTATATTTGTTGTGTACAGACGTCAAATCCACAGAGTGAAAATTGGCGTTGCGCTTTGTGCACTACTTTCTTAGGGCCTGAATCAATTGTTAAATCTATAAATAATGTTTTCTAGATAAATTTGTTTAGTTAATGTTACGGGAATCGCAATAATATAACAATTTTTGATGGCAAATGATAATGGTTTTCCTTTTTTTTATCTAAGCCTGTACTCATCGTTTGATTCCTACTTATATTAGTGCTATGGCGTTTACCTGAAGCAGACATCCGATTGATTCACTTATTTTATGAATAGACAAGTAGCTAGTTAGACTTTTGGATTAAGTTTTCAAAGAATCTGGACCCAGTACTCTCGTAATACTTAAAAAACAAAATTAAAAACGACGACCGGTCGTGCTGGCAGTCTATGGGGAGGGCCTATGTCCAGCAGTGGACACCGAACGGCTGAATCGAGCCTTTATTTTGTTCTCTTTAGCAATTCTAAATATTTAGGATTCCTTGCTTTCCGGTTATTTAATTTGTGTTAATACATTTTGGGTTCAAAACCAATTTCTTTATGAACACATACTAACAAACTTCGAAATAAGACAAAGTTCTTACAATTAATTAGGCAACTCGTAGACGTCCGCACAATGTGTGTCGGATATTAATCTTACCTAATTATTACATATTACCCCTAATTGTTTCCTTTCCACCGATTATTAAGTGGGTCAATCGTAATATTTATTGCCTTTTATCATAAAACAAAATGTAACTACATATATTACATTATTGGCGTTTAAGTAGGCAATTAAACATACGTCAAGCGAAATATTTAAGTAAATAGGGAAGAATTGTCATTTGTTAAATATAGATAGTAAATAATTGAAATGTTTACAACAGATAATATTATGGAATGTTCTCGTAATTGAGAAATTGTTCCTGACGTTTCACCATCACGAGTGAAAGACATCATCGGATGCTCGTTCTTCGATAGTATCGGATCGGAGTTAAATAAAACACTTTAACTGTTTAAAACGCGATCTGTGTTAGTTAAACTTATTAGAAAATTATTTCAACCACAGCGCGATGTTTCGGATGCTTCGGATGATGCTTTTACCCAAGGCACAAGTATCAGCATTTCTTACACACCGCAAGTCAATACACGATAAAATACGACCACGGATGCTGCAAAGCATCCGAAACGTCGGGCCGTAGTTTTTAATTTTTAAATAAGTTTTACTAACATAGATCGCGTTTTAAACAGTTAAAGTGTTAATGGTTTGAGTTTGAGTTTTTATGTATTGTGTACGCGCGAAACCTACACATAGTATTTAAAGAAATAGTTTTGCAAAATGGCCGCAAAATCTTTAACAATTCACACTGTTATCTCTTGCCTTCGTCGCATTGCCTAGGATTACGTTAAGCACGAAAGGTCTTGAGTGTCAAAAACAAATGTCTATAGAAGCACTGAGATTTTCCTTGTCTTCCGACATCGCTTTGCATTCCATTTGGAATCAAGTCCAAACTTCCTCAAATCTTCGTAGCATATCTCACAAAGAAAACATATTTATGAGAAATGCGTTATAAACTATTTCGATTCATATTTGCTATATAATATTGACCCTAAAATGATAGCTAGGACTCATCAATCAAATTCACTCTTTATAGTAAAGCTCAACGGTGTATCAAGTTGAAGTTTGTGGAAGCCCTGGGGGCAGTGCAAATGGAAGTAGTTGAAGTTAAATTGATCAATTAAAACTTGGCCATTTCTAAGATAGCCGCGGAGAGTGATACCCTCTCACTTACTCACCATTAACGTGTAATACGAACCGCTATGTAGATTCCTATATACGTCGTATAATACGATTCACAAGATCACAAGCGTCTGTTCAATTACTTGCCTATAACTAAAAATCGATCAAAAAAACGGACATACGAATGTGTCTATCCTAATTCGACAACAGGAGACGCTGGTTCTTTAAGCTTTAGACATTGTTATATTTATTATTAGAAAACGCTTGTACTGTTTTACTACAGACATTGATTTTATAGTACAAAAAAATGTCTGTTTAGTACTTCATTAGCATAAACATAAAATGTATTTTAAAATAAATTAGAAGAAATGGCATAAATCTGATCACCATATTGGAATTACAATCACATATTAACTTTTTATTGCTAACAACTGTCAAGTTAATGTCTTTCTTTAAACATAATAATAGATAAATAAATAGAAAAGAAATGACAATCGGTACCGCTTTCTTAAGGGCTTGTCATATATAGCAGCACTGGTTTTGAGACTAGCCATGTATATTAAAAAAAATTAAAAACGCATTTAATTATGTACCGCGAATACTGTCTGTAGTTTACGCGAGTAGTACACATTTAAATAAAACACTTTAACGGTTTAAATCGCGATATATATCAGTGAAACTTATTTTTAATTTTGGCCCGACGTTTCAGATGCTTTGCATCAAAGCATTTTAAACGGTTAAAGTGTTTTATTTAAAAATGTATTGCGAGACAAAACATCGGGTCCGAAGGAAAGTAGGGCGGATCCAGACGATGTAGACAATTACGAGAAAAAAATAATACAGTATATAGAACGACATAATACCAATTCAATTACACGCTTCATTAATTATACTTTTCATTGGGGCAACCATATCGGATTCGTGACTTCGGTGCTACGAGGAAGATTTGCTATGATTTCCCAGGGCCTTTAAAAGATCGACTTTTAGTTAAAAAAAAATTAACAGCAAACTAATTATTACTATGTGGCAAAAAAGGAATTTATTATTATTAATTTACTTTACTGGTTTAAAATGCGATATATTAGTAGATATAAGTGACTAAAATATCGCGTTTTAAACCGTTAAAGTGTTTTATTTAAATGTGTTCTACTCGCGTAAACTATAGACATTATTTAACTTGACAAATGTAATTTGCCAATTCTTCGTATCAAACATTTTTTTGACACGAAAGAAATTTCAGACTCTGAGATCGTAAAAGGAAAACAATAATTTCTCATGATCAAGTCAGCCCAGTTAGACCAAAAAGACAGTTTACCATTTCGCAATAAACCAAAATAGTTCATATTAAACTGGTAAATATCGTAACGACTTTTAATTTCAATGTACTGTTTCCTATCAAAGATAACGAATCACTATATACGCTTTTAGGTGATATTGATAATTAATTTACTAGCAACTATGGCACCAAAAGGAACCGTTAAAAAGTTCATACAAATTTTTTATCAGCGCTATTAATTTGATTGCACGCCGATTCGTGAAAATCACAGCCCAGTATTTCAAAAGCAGCCAATCGTCCGATCTCAATTTATTTACATAATAATCAAAACCATCGGTATTTGAACATCGAAGTTATTTACTGCGTTCCACTTAAAAAAAATGACCATTTATTTCGCGAGCTATGTCAAAATCGCGAGACAGCTGCACTTAAATAAAAACTGCAATAAAAACGATGTGAAACATCGACGTCGTTCGGATTCCGGGATGCTTTTAAAAGCGAGTTTTCGCTGTGGAAATTATTTATTGAAAATGCGTTTTCGCGAGTTGATAGTGAGCGTTTTTCTGTTTGATTATGTCCGTTGCTACCTCATTAAGGGTAGCTTGGATATTAACAATTCGAGTTTCGTCCGAAAACCAATAAACGATGGTACGGCGCCTGCCTACTTTGATTGGAGAGAAGGAGGATTTGTCAGTCCCGTGAAGGATCAGCAGAGTTGTGGTGCTTGCTGGGCGTTCAGTGCCGTTGGTAATGCCACTTTAAATTTTCATCTGGCCTTCTGCCAAGCCTCTTATGCGATATCTTTTTTCTTAACTGTTCTTTGAGAAACTCTGGAAGGAAATTAAAAGTATCTAGTCGCACACTGCATTATTACCCTTTGCCTTGTAGAAATCAACCTCGGTATTTTAAACAGGAGCTAAGACAAAATATTTTGGGTTGTAATTTGATTCGTTATGCTCTAACTAATTTAAACGGGCCCTAATAGTAAGACATTGCCGTCCGTGTCTGTCACTATACTGTTATTCAAGAATCGTTATAACTAGACCGCTTATATTTAAAGAAATTAATGACAATACTACAATTTTACAAATAATAAACAAAAATACGCCACAAATAAAATTACAAATATATCATTAAAAACTGAAAAGTGTAAGTTTATTATTATTGCTAATATATTCGTGCAAAAATAAAAAATGTTAAAATTTCTAATTTATAGCTTCTTGTACACTACAATAAAAGTGATGTTGATCCTTTTCCTTGATTGGACTAATGTCACTTAAAATATTTTATATACAATATATAAAAATTAATTATATACTCACTCAAATAAAAAAAGGTTGCATTTATTATCTTTTCAGGAAGTATAGAAAGCCATGTTGCTATTTACTGGAAACTGAGAGTAATTCTTTCAGAACAATTTTTGATTGACTGCGAAAAGGAACAAACTGGATGTGGCAATACAACAATCTTGAAAATATTTGCGTAAGTTATTTTTAATTGTAAAAAAAAACTACATATTTTAGATTTATTGCGAATAGATTGATTTAGATTTAACACATACAAAATCCAAATGATTTTAGGGCCAATTTTAGAGCATATTTTTGCTAACAAATAATATAATTAAGACATATATTTTAGGAGGAAAATAAAAACTAAATAATATGTACCTACTTTTAACTCTTGGTATAATGGAAGCAATGTACTCCTTATAATCATTGTTAACAATCCCTACATGGCAGAAATATGGTGGATATTTCTAATCATTTTTATAATTTTCCCGAAATCTCGATATAAAATATCTTCCGGATCGCGAACCGTCCTCAGAAGCATATTCGCGTTTCGGTTGCAGTTATTGGCTTTCCAAATCTCAAAAGTTAAGATTGGGCTGCCCTTTAACAATATGTCTGAGGTATCCCACTGCCCAAGAAGTGCACTCTATGCTTATCTGTCCTCGTCTGTCATAAAATAAAATCTTTTGTGGTTTATTACATACTGTCTGTAGTTTACTCGATTAGTACACATTTAAATAAAACACTTTAACGGTTTAAAACGCGATATATAAATAATTTTAATTACGGCCCGAAGTTACCGATGCTTTGCAGCTGCCTTGGTCATGGGGAGACGAACGAATCCGAAACGTCGGGCTGACGTTTAATTTCAAATAAGTTTCATAAATATATATCACGTTTCAAATCTCTGTTGATTTATTAATTTGTGTTTACCCTTTTAGGCAAATAGTCAGTGATATCGGCGGAGTGCTTCAAGATAAGGATTATTTTCCTTACTCAAATAGAGCGTACGCTTGTAGATGGAATAGAGATTATCAGAAACTAGTACCAGTAATAGGCTACAAAAGAATACACGGTGAAGATCAAATGGTAGACTATTTGTACAAGAACGGACCTCTTTCAGCTGGTAAATGTGGTTTAATTTCTATAGTAGTTATATTTTTTCAGTTTCTATAACATAATACTTTTTTTCCCACAAAGCATAATATATATTAGCAAATTTAAACAAGGTATATATACTTTAAATGCCTTCGTAGCTGATTGAAAGCAAGAGAGGTTCTGGGTTCGAATTTCTAAGAAATGAAAATTTTCGTTTCGTCGTCGTCTATTAGCCTGTAAATAAAATCCATCGTTTAAACGGACGTGGTTCACGCCTTTTAAATATAAATCTTAAAATTACGAAAAAAAGCCAAATCAGCTTGGTTTAAATAAAACATTATGGAATGGTATGGTCTGTAAATACAGCCGACAAATATTGAAATTGGTTTTGCAACTTATTAAATCTATAAGTATAGGATATCGATGTATTAACTGCAAATATGACCATCATATATAATCAATAAATATCAACTACGAGAAAACAGATGGCGCTAGCGCAGCAGATTTTACTTACACATTAGGGACAGCCTCCATCTTCAGTCCCCCATGACCACGGCTACTACAAAGCATCAGTAACTTCGGGCTGTAATTAAAATAAGTTGTTAATAACTGATATCGCGTTTTAAATCGTGAAAATGTGTTAAATTATGTCTCTCTGTGTCTGTTTTATAGCAATTAATTCTGCATCTATGCGTCACTATAATCCTAGAGGGCAAGTAGTAATTGATGAACCAACTGATGCTCTATGCTCCCCGAAGAAATTGGACCACGCTGTCGTAATTGTCGGGTACAACGAGTACGGTAAATATGCTTTTAAACTAATATACGCTGATGAGTTGCCCAAAAATTTGTAATCGATATCTCTTCATCCCTGTGTCATTTGTGGCAACAACTTCACTCTACAAGGTCATTACTAGTTCTCTATGGTTTGAAATCGGCCATATTTGTTGTGGTCTTTTGCCAAGTAAACATATATACACTTTCTTCAAGGTTCTGTGCTAAAGTGCGCCCTGAATTTGATCCATTTTGCTTTTTTTTTGAAGCCATGTTTATATTTAATAAGGCATGGTAGAAATTATTTTATATACGAGTAGCGGCATTATACTATCGCTGTGAGGTATAACTGTTTTTAATCTATACTGATATATTTTAGTGGATCCCAACACTAGTATCAGAACACCATACTGGATTATCAAGAACTCTTGGGGAGACCAATGGGGTGACCATGGCTTCTATTATTTAGTGCGCGGACGCAATGCTTGTGGTATCGCTGAAGACGTTTCCATACCATCCGTAATGTAGTGTGTAGGTGATTGTAGTGTGAGTACGCGTAAACGTATAAAAATAAATAGCTTTTTGGAATTAAAAACGTTACAGATAAAGCCCTGCCTTTTATAATGCTTTCCGCTTTCAAATTATTTCGAATTAATGGTCCATTTAAAATGAAACCATATTAAGACTTACTTAATGGGACTAGACTATGGTAAAATGCAGACATAAAAAGAATAACCGAAATTAAAATGCAACAGACGTCATTTAGATAAAACTCGAAACGTTTTACTATAAAACTACTTTTTAACGACTATCCAAAGATTTTACGAATTAAGTGATAGAAAAAATATACCTCGAAAATGGAACTGCCGTGATAAATTAAGATTTTTTTTGCTGCTTTAGAGTCGGTAAATTTAAATAGTCGTGCCACATGTCGCTGTTTGATTTAAAAATCGTAAATAAATTAAACAAAATTTCGACTCGGGCAGGACTTAAACCGGCATCGTCAGCGTTCCGTGCTGTTGCTCTTCAACGATTCGATTTTTAAATTATATAGTGCCTTCATGTGTAATGACACGTTAAAAATAAAAAGCTTTCAAATGTCGCTGTTTGTTTTTTAAATGCACTATGTCGTACGATACGATATCGTAAATTAGTTTATTGACTTATTTTTTATATTTTTTGGCACTAGCTTCTAAAGCATCTTTCTAAATCTCATAACAATCGAAACTCATATTAAATTTTCCTAATATTAACTTAAATTGTGTTTTATTTAATATTTTTTGCGATATATTCATAAGAGTTAGTAGTTAAAAAGTTTCTCATATCTTTAACTTCGTCCCATGCAATTTCTCCCTTTTTATTAGTTTAGCTTCGTTCTTTTCTTGTTCCATATATTTCATTTGTTTATCTATTACAATAATAAATATACATTTGTAGGCATAACCACATAAGCTATCGATATTGTCCGATTTTAGCTGTGCGTAAGTAATTTTATGCATGTATATTATATGTATAAAAATACACACATGTTCCAATCATAAGATATATTCCACATATGCTAATAAATATTTCAAATATTTTTGTACAATAATCCTACTAATATTATAAACGTGAAAGTTTGTATGTGTGGATGGATGTTTGTTACTCTTTCACGCAAAAACTACTGAATGGATTTCAATTAAACTTTCCAATAATATAGCTTATACATCAGAATAACACATAGGCAATTTATAAAGATATTGTGTTAGCTATCCAAAATATGACATTAAGTGTCAAGTAACTAGGAAAAGACCTACCTTTCTGCTATTCTGGCTATTCTGGCGGCATAATTATGTAATGTATGTGATATGATAGACATCGTTTAGTTTAAATGCGCGATACTACGTAATCCTAATCGTCGCGGGCACTAGCTAGTATAAAATATATTCTATACAGAGCAAGGCAATTCACAAGTTCCGAATTTTTCTAGAATTCTATAAAACGGTCCAAAGTAGTCATTGACTCACCAAAAAAGTAGGTTTAAGCTAAAAACTTTGACCATCACACTGTTTGGGCATCGTTGACTGATATTTGGAGAAGAGCCAATAAACTTAGCATTGAAATCAAATCAAATACAAAAGTTTTCGCTGTGTAACGTTGAGCCGATGGCGGTCTATTGTCTGTTTTATTTACGACAAGAAAGTGCTTTAAATATCAACTACTTTAATGCTGATTTGAGAGACCAATTGTGGTTGAAATTAAACCGTTTTTTACCGATCCTATCACATATAAAGTTTATTAAATTGAACAATACCTCAAAAAATATTAGTTAAACTATTACAGTTAAAAGAATATAATAATTTAAAATAGTACGTTACCGAAATAGTTTATAAACATTTATAAGTTAAGATTTTTAACGAATTATGACTATATTTAGAATTTTAGGCTTAAAAATTGTACTTAAAAATTTGTCGCATTTCAATATTGGAACGTAAGTCATTAAAGTATTGGAAATCACAAAGTTTGGCAATAAAAACTCGGTGAAATAGAAAGGAATTTTCCGCTTCTTTCCACTTCCGAACGAAACGAAAGTGGATTAAAATATGCACGAAGTTTGGAGAAATGTAGCATTTTTCGTTTGATTTCCTCGCTAGGTTTGAGAAATATTTTTACACGCTGACTATCTTTATAGTTTATGTTCAGTTTAAAGTACAAATTATTGTTTCCCGTATTATCATTTAGTTCAGTTCTGCACAGAGTAAAATTGTTTGCCTTGTCTTGTTTGTGGCTCTATGTTTTTCTCCTTGTCTAGTTTGAAAGGTCCTGAAATCAATTCGCGGGAAAACTTAGAATTAAATCATATTATCGTAATAAAAAAGTTTACTGAACAAACACAACAATGTCCCTTTTTATGTATGTATACAGAAAAAGTACTGCCTGTAGTTTACGAGTACACTTTTAAATAAAACACTAATGGTTTAAACACGGCCCGATGTTTCAGATGCTTTGCAACAGCCATTGTCACGGGGAGACAAACGTTGAGCCGTAGTTAAAACGCGTTTTAAGCCGTTAAAGTGTTTTATTTTAAATATAGAAAAGGTTTTAAATAACACGGTTATACAAAAAGCAGACGACGATGGACTTATAAGCAAGTCTTATGCTTGTACGAGTTGATGAAATCATCCTAAATCAAGCAACTGGCACGAGTCAACGTACAGTAATAACAATATCCTGAAGCCAACAATTAGTCCACGGAGAGGCCTCATTCGTCAAACTAAGCACGGACGGGTAAGTAATGCGCTGGCTTGCGGCGTCCGCCCTTCGTTCAACTATAAATCTCCGACTATTAATAACAAGAAAATAAGATATGGCTGTTTATTTTGAAAAAATGTAGACATTTCTGTAGTTTAAAGTGTAATTCCTTGACTAATGGAAAACGCTTCTAACGGGGAGACCTAATATTGTATGACTTGGAAAAGTCATGTCATAGACTGTGAAAATGTACGAGACTGTGAAAATTTTTCAAGTCCCGCCCAAGTTTTTTTTTTTTTTCAATTTATTTTCGATTTTTAATCTAAATAGTGTCATCATGTGCACATGTAAAAAATATTAAAGTTTTTAAACCAGCTTTTATTTTTCAGGATTCGAAACTGGAGCTCACACGCTAAACTAGTCAATTTAACCACTGATCCGCTTCTTTACATAATCACTTAATTTCTGGTCGGGTATTTGATCGTCCTCAAAATGTAATCTTCTTAACTATTCTGTAATTAGAAAGCGTAATGCCGGTCCTTTCGGCCCATCCTCGGGGAATTTGATAAGCGACCTCTCCTTAATCCTCACAAATTGACTCCGCAATCATTGCAGTAATCTTTTTATTGTTTACGTATTTTGTCCTTATTCTCCTGTAAGAATGAATCTTATTAATGGGACATTGGACATCCTACATGTAGCTCTTACCCGTAGTTTTTTATCTCCTTTGTTCGCGTATGAATGATTTACAAAGTTATTACTTATCGGCTTTTAACCGACTTATAAATTGGTTCTCAATAAAAAAAAGTTTTTATTTAATTTCATATAAATACGTGCATAACCTTTGAAAACATTAATATTTTTCACATGTTATTGCACATGAAGGCACTATATAATTTAAAAATCTAAAATAAATTGAAAAAATTATCGACTCGGGCAGGACTTGAACCGGCATCGTCAGCTTTCCGTGCTGTTGCTCTACCACTCGGCACCACTCGGACTCGGTAGCTCAATTGATAGAGCAACAGCACGGTAAGCTGACGATGCCGGTTCAAGTCCTGCCCGAGTCGATAATTTTTCCAATTTATTTTCGATTTTTAAATTACGTGCATAACCTTGTAATTTTTTATGATAGAGGAAGACATGAGGTGCACTTGATGGAAGGTTAATTACCTCAGCCATATAGTATCTTCGTAAGATGCACTTTCGCCCTATTATATAACCGAAACGCGATTACACTGCACGGCTTTTTCGTTGTTAACAGTGGTTTGTAACGTATGTAGTTTGATATTCCTACCACCCGTGTAATATCCTGATTTTCAGACGAGGTCCCATATGTTTCAGAAAAATTATAAATTGATAAGAAACATGTTAGACTCTGGGAACCGACGGCCCATTGATTATTAGCTTGCATTGCTACCATTAGACAGTGATTTATTACCGAGTGAGAAGATTGAATTTTAACAAAAGAAAGACTTGTTGAATTTAAATAAAACACTTTAACGGTTTAAAACGCGATATATTAGTTAAACTTATTTGAAAATTATTTTTAACTTCGGCCCGACGTTTCGGATGCTTTGCAGCAGCCGTGGTCACGGGGAGACTGACGGCTGCTGCAAAGCATCCGAAACGTCAGGCCGAAGTTAAAAATCATTTTCAAATAAGTTTAACTAATATATCGCGTTTTAAACCGTTAAAGTGTTTTATTTAAATGTGTACTACTCGCGTAAACTATAGATAGACAGTAGACTTGTTGAATTTCAAAGTATGATAACCACAAATTAGAAAAATTAAAAAAAAAATCGCGGACAAATCTAGCGCTTTTTTTTATTATTATTTTTTCTTCTTAACGCGTAAGTTGTCCCAATAATAACAATTATGTTTAAATTCTAGGACACATACACACATAAAATAGCTTTGTTCTAATAGTAAGTGTACAATGTTTTATTCATTGATTAGACAATTTTATTAAAGTACTCGCAAGTTTCATAAAAAGTTTTCCCTAGGTGAGTAAAGCTAGGAAATTGCTCGGAATGGAACTTAGATTGAGAAGTTTCTCATTTTGAAGTTTATTCTTTTTAAGAGTTTTAGTAAGATAATATTTCCACTTTGGGGTAGAAGAAAAATTCTTTTCAGTCAGTTGTAAGATAATCGACTTTACAACTGATTTAAAGTTTAAAGCCTTTTTACAGCCTAAAATGATAGTAATGTTTGATATAATGTTAGTAATTAAAAACGTAACAACTAAATGTAACGTAAAAACAACGTAATATAAAGGTCTATTTCCAAGGGAAACG